ATGGGGTGTTCGAGGCGCACATACAATATAATACTGCAGACAGCGCGCAGCTCTTAAAGGGGCCACACCTTATTTCCACTCGTTACAGTCTGAAATAAAACAAGATGAGAAATTAAATATTTCCAGCACTTTCTGTGATGTAGTATGCTTGCTTATCATAGGAAGTAATAAGAAATGACTCTTTACATTAAGGTAGTAGCCTAGTGAGAACAGGGTGTTGGGGGAATCACTTTTTTTTCTCTTTTTCATCAAACCGCAGTTTTTGCAAGTTCCCGCAATTTTTGCAAGTTCCCGCAATTTTTGCAAGTTCCCGCAATTTTTGCAAGTTCCCGCAATTTTTGCAAGTTCCCGCAATTTTTGCAATTTCCCGCAATTTCATCGCAAAAAATTGCATAAATATCCCGCATATTCCATCGCATTTTTAAAGAAAACGGGCCGCGTAATCAAGGATTTTTGCCCGCAACAATCACAAAAAAACTCCGCGTTTTTCTGGAAGGACTGCTTAATGTCAGTGAGGGTAAGCCAGAGGTGGCGCTCGAGCACGACCAAACTCGCCATATTCCTCCCGATAGCCTGTGCTGTGGCCTTGGTAGCTCTCAAGGCCAAGTCCATGGCCCTTCGCAGGTCCCGAAAGGCCTCAGGGTCCGGGCCAGCCTCGTCCATAGACAGGAGGAGTTTGGCCTGGTACACCTGCAGCACGGACATCGTGTGCAGGGCCGATGCAGCCTGACCGGAGGCGGAATACGCGCGTCCAGCGAGGGCTGCAGTGCTACGGCACAGCTTGTTGGGATGAACAGCTCTAGCTCGCCAGCTAGCGGCTGTGTTCGGGCAGAGATGAGCGGCCAGCGCCTCTTCGAGGGGCGGCAATGACTCATAGCCTTTTTCCGCTGCTCCGTCCACGGAGGAGAGCATTGTGGACACTGCGGGGCCTCGCGTAGAATAAGGAGAATAAGGAGTGCGCCAGGCCTTGGTGAGCTCCTCGTGTACTTCGGGAAAAAATGGCGCTGGCTTGTGACGAGGGGCCTGTTGATGCCCCGGCAGAAACCAGCCATCCAGCCGACTTCGAGGGGGTTCAGCGGGCGCGGCCCACTCGAGCTCGAGGTCCGCTACGGCCTGCGTCAGGATCCGAAGCATTTCCACGTCGGAGTTAGTCCTGGTAGCAGAGGCGCTGGGCGTCGGCTGGTAAGCCATGACGGGGTCGAAAGAGCTTGCATCCGCACGTGGCGCAGGTCTTGACACGAGGCATTGAAACAACGCTAGTACAGATAAAAACACACTAGAAATGCAATAATAATGAAAGGAAATCGCCGGATAGCCACAGGAGAGACGGCGTCAGGAGAAACACGGTTGAATGTGTCGTCTGCTGAACTGTAGCTCGCTCAGGCTGAAGGCTTGTTCAACGGCGAAGATTCAATAAATGGTCAGAGACGTGAAGTTTGTCGTGAAGAAAATCTGCTATAATGGCGAATTCGGGGACTATTATAGTCTGAGGACACGCCCCCTGAGGACGCGCCCGCGCCATTGGATATGCAGTTGCCGCAGCCCAGCCTATGAGCGAGCCAGACGCTCATGTTCTGCTGTGCAGCTGCAAATGCGCTTTACATAAAGGCTTCAGTAAATCGAGGAAAAGGAGTTTCCCCACTGCGTATAGCTACGCAATACGAAGTGACCGTTCGAAAGGGAACGCTCGTCTCTTCATGTGGTTTTCCTCCTTTTTCTCTCTCCCTCTCTCTCCTGGTCCTGACTGCTTCAGAGCTCGGAGAACAGCCACAACACAAAACGACTGGATGGAGAAGACCAGTACCATTTGCATCGACGAGAGCCATGTATTTATATATCTGTTTCGTGAGGTTAAATTGAACATGCAACACAAACAAGAGATCAAATTAATTACCCAGGCTGCAGTGCAGCAGATCACTCTATATCTGAGAGGTTTGTACTTCAGAAAGGTTACAGGATGAACCAGTGCCAGGTAACGCTCAACACACATCAGACACTGAAACAGAGGACGGCCAGTGATGGTAAGTCCTATTAAAAATAGTTCAAAACTTGAAAGAGTTGTAAAACCACACTGACAATACAAAGATCCCACTATTCAGACAGATACCAAGCTCACAAACAGAGAGATTGAGGATGAAGAACTCTGATGCGACTCCACTTCCTGTTCCTGTGATGATGAGCCATATAATATAGGAGTGTGTAGGAAGACAAAATAAGAAATTGATGCTGTACACACAGATTTCCAGACTGTCCATTAACCCAATGGAATGCATTGTGGAGTTTGATGCTTCAGTTGTGGTGAAGTTCATTGTAAAATGTATTTATTTCCTTACAGGGAACAAGGTAACTTGTTCCCTGTGTCGCCACATTGAATAAGTAGGTGTTGGAGCCATAGGCAGGAAACAATGCAATGGCGTTAAACTAATAAAGTCAAAGTTAGAATGGTGGCCTCATCAGGGGCCAGTTTCAATTAGGAGGTTCAACCAACTCTGAGTTAAAACTTGAACTCTGAGGGCGTTTTCACACTTGGTTCGATTGCCTGTTCCGAACCCGAGTTCGATTGCTCCCCCCTCCCCCCTAAGCTACTAGTGGCGCTCAAGCACGACGAGGCTAGCCATGCTCCTCCCGATAGCCTGCGCTGTAGCTTTGGTAGCACGCAAAGCTAGGTCCGTGGCACTCCTGAGATCGCGGAAGGCCTCAGATTCCGGGCCAGCCTAGTCCATCGCCTGGAGGAGTTTGGCCTTGGAAACCTGCAGCACGGCCATCGTGTGCAGGGTCGAAGCAGCTTGGCCGGAGGCGGCGAAAGAGCGTCCAGCGAGAGCTGAGGTGTTCTGGCACGGAGGGGCCTGCTGGCGTCCCGGCAAAAACCAGCCATACAGCTGACTTCGAGCCAGTTCCTCGAGCAAGGCCCACTCGAGCCAGAGGTCCGCGACAGCCGTGGTGAGGATCCTCAGCATCTCTGCGTCAGAGTTAGTCCTGGTAGCTGTGCAGTCCGCTGAGACGCTGGCACCCGACTGTGAGGGGAGAGTGGGGTCGACAGTGCCTGACCATTCCTGCTCAGAAGCTGCAATGGAGAGGCTGTCGTCATCATCCAACGCACCGAATGGGGGGGCGAGGCACATGGGGTCGTGGCCGGCGTGGGCTCGCTAAAATCCACGTTCTTGGGCTGCCACTGGCTGAGGGTGCTTCTTCCTCTTCAGTTGAAGTAGCGCGGAAAAGAGGAAGAGCGGGAGGAGCGGTGTCGCCATCTTGAGAGAGAGATAGCCGCGTCCGCAGCACCGATATAGGCATGCCCTCGCAGAGAGAGCAGCCGCCAGCAGTAAGTGCAGTTTCAGTGTGGGCAGGCCCCAGGCATGAAACACACTCTGAATGCCCGTCGTCCTCTTGCAGATGGGATCCGAACGTGGCGCACGTTGAGCAAGGCTTTTGTAACAACGCTCGCTTAGCTCTTTCAGACTGTATAACGTAACAGTAGAGTGAAAGGATATATGGTTGATCGCCGGATGGCCACAGGAGAACGGCGACAGAAGAAAGTGGCTTCCAGACGAGTGGAGGCGCAGTCCGCTATGCGAGGCTCGTTCTGGCAGAAAAAGGCTTGTTCCGAAGGCGATGGCTTCAATTTTTCTGGAGGACACAGAGACGTCAAGTGTCGCTGAAGAAGAGAAAATCTGCTATAATAGCGATTTTGGGGTTCCCTTGTGCTGATTGGCGCACACGTCAGAGGCGCCTTCACCATTGGATGTGCAGTTGCTGCAGCACAGCCAATCAGCGAGTCAGTCACTCTCTGTGCTCGCTGTGCAGTTGCAATGCTTTTTACATATAAGCTTCAATAAATCTGAGAAAAGCAGTTTCCCCACAGCATATAGCTACCCAATACAATGTGATCGTTCTCGAAAGGGAACTGCTGTCACCGATTTAGTTCATTTGCGAATTGCTACAATGGTATGAGTTTTTTATTTATTTTTTTGCATTTATTAATGATTCATTCTGTGAGAAACATTTAATATATCATCAAAAACTGTTGAGTCTTATAGGCATATCAAATAGACCTATAGCCTATGAGCAGAGTTCCTCTTTCCTAAATGTAACTAAATTACATTAAGTTTGAGTTGATCAAACTTAAATCAATTTCATTGATGACACTATTTAAATATTTTATGTTAGACTCATTAAATATAAATATGCATTACTTAATTAGATATAAGTAAAGTGAACCAATTTGAATTTTGTGTCATATCTATGAAGGGCCTGAATTTTATTTTTTGAGTGATGTATATGGAGTATGTATATGTATATAGTGTTCTTAACCAATAATGGAATATGCGTATCTTTCTGTCTGTTGCACATTTTAGTTTTTTATGCATCATTTCTCAGGCTTAAGAAAAGTGTTGGGTAATTGGCAGTGTACATGTGTAGCTATATAGAAAATATGTATAAAAAAATAAAAATAAAAATAAACATCTTTATAAATTGTATTGCAATCACTGTTGATTCCAAATAAAAGGAGACACTCGGTCATTGATAACCTTTTTTATTTGAATAAACAAACAGCACACTAATGGCAAAAACTTAAAATATTATTTGCAGATAATCGTAATTAGCGCCGTTTATCCATAAAATGCATTTTAGATGCATGTTGTCTATAGCATGTTATCATTCAATGCAAACGTATGAGAATGTGTGTTCTAGCTGTATTTTACATGCAAATATCTACAACTTTTTAATGAGATCACTGACTTGCACATACAGTATAATATAACCAAAACCACCACATGAAGCTATAACTATAATTCAGTGTGCAATTGTGGCCCATTAAGGCTACACAGGAAGAAAAAAAAAGAGCAATATATCAGCTCCATAAACTGAATTTAAAATTTTCCAGTATAATAAAATAAAAAAATAACTACATTTAGCATACAATTATTTAATTTAACAGCCAATTAATTTATCAATCATTTAATATAACATATTAAATAACAATGAAATCATTTATCACCATTTCATGGTGCACAAGAGCAGGAGAGTTTCCCAATGCGGTGCAGATAAAGAGCAGGCTGAACAAAACCAGCCAGTATATAACAAATCAGACCAGTGATCCAAAGTTTATGAATAAAGTGGTTTGTTAGAATGGTAAATAATCCTATTGTAGCAAATGGGACATATATGATAGCCATGCTCCCCGTAGTAATTAGAATGATTTGAAATGCTCTTCTCTTCATGTGGTTTTCCTCCTCTCTCTCTCTTCTTCTCTCTCCTGGTCCGGACTGCTTCAGAGCTCTGAGAACAGCCACAACACAAAACAACTGGATGCAGAGGGCCGGTAGGAACTGCAGCGAGAATAAATGTGAATGTATTTGTCCATTTTTTGTGAAGTCAATAAATAAGGAACAGAAGCAGGAGCCAAGAATAGTTATCCAGGCTGCAGTGCAGCAGATCACTCTATATCTGAGAGGTTTGTACTTCAGAAAGGTTACAGGATGAACCACTGCCAGGTAACGCTCAACACACATCAGACACTGAAACACAGGACGGCCAGTAATGCATAGGCCTAGTAAAAAGAGTGGTAATTTTGAGATTCTCTGAAAGCAAACTGACATTATATAAAACAAACAATTCAGACAAACACCAAGCTCACAAACAGAGAGATTGAGGTTGAAGAACTCTGATGCGACTCCACTTCCTGTTCCTGTGATGATGAACCATATAACATAGGAGTGAGTAGGAAGACCAAACAGGAGATTGATGCTGAAAATACAAATTTTGAGACTTTCAAGTAACCAGAAAGAATCCGTTGTGGAGTTTGTAGATTCTTCAGGTGTGGTGAAGTTCACTGTGTAGTTGTTCATCTCCTTTGTGTTTGTCTTCAGCAATATAAACTGCAACTGTGATTTACTGGAAAAGAGAAGCGTAATGAACCAGTGAATTCAGCCTGTGTGAATGAACTCAGAATAAGTACGATTTTAATATTTTTTTAATGCATCCAGTTTGAATGTTCCAGTTTAGAATTCTAAAAATTCTTTGTTTACATTCAAATAACCAGAGCATTTCATGATTAAATGATATACAGTCTCTTTTAATTCAATGTCTCTAAACAATTACACTTGCCCCAAAACCCTTGGACAGATAAACACAATTACACGGTTAATTATTGTTGATGTTAAAAAATAAGAAATTCAATCAAAAACAGAGGTTTATCACCTGAAGAGTGAATGTCCGGTTTCTCTGGATGAAATCTCTGTGCTGTGCTTTGTACACTGATCTCACAGCTGTCACAAGAATATATGACTTCATCTGCTACACGTCACATAAAACATCAGATATGAATATACTTCTTCAGATAAAAAAATAGGTTTCGTTTTTTTTCTGACAGGAGATAGAGACAGATATGGATTTTTAAAAGATGCACTGTACGCGGTAGACCAATCACAACAGAATGACTTTGACACTGGTCAGGTGTTACTCATTCAACACCTGATATTCAAATAATTAGACTGAGCATTTAAAAACTATGGCAAAGAAAAACCAACTATATATCTGTGTTATGACAGAATGTCAAATTTGATGTAATCATCCTTCATGCCATCCATATCTGAATAATGAATACAGAATAAACAATTAATCTGTGTAAATAACTAGAACAAACAAATGTGCAACGATAAGTCAGTTTCAGGTGGAAGACAGGGCGGGACATATTGAACAGCTCCTCCCCCTTTTTTAAATAGCCAATAGTTTATATCACAGCCAGAGCTGTTGAGCCCGATAAAGCCGCAGTTTCCTCCTAATCTCCTCCATATTGCTTTAAAATATAGCATTCTGTTCAGAATTCAAATGGGTCCTATACGTTTTCTAATACTCTCTGGACCGGAGCAGACTGTGTGCGTGCTTCGGCGGTTCACGTGCCACTTACAAGAAATCAGACTTCATTCGCCCCAATGGGAAGCATATTTACACTGAATCTGAATCATTCCCTATCCCCTATACAATGCACTGTGTGCTATTCGCCATGCAGAAAATAGTAACTGTGTGAGCAAATTGATTTCAGGCACAGCTTCAGCGTCTATGTATAATGAAGGGGGCGGGACGCGTTGGATTCTAGTGAACATTTGATTGGACAGAAAATCTAATGAGAAGCTAAAGTGTATGGAAAATTTTATGCTTGTTTCCATCTGTTTTGTCTCTCATAAGCAGATGGCCTTTGTATTTGTTTGCTTTTTGTTTGTTTGCTATTTGTATTACATTGTGAAGCGACCTTGGGTTCTTGAAAGGCGCTATAGAAAATAAACATTTTATTATTATTATTATTATTATTAAAGAGCAGAGTGATTATGCATTAATTTGAGGAGAGTCTCTGCATGAAAGACCAGTGACTGCAGATCAACGTGCTGCTGCATTTCTCTCCGAAATTAAATGAAATGTGGAGGATTTTATCTTTGACAAGATGATTGATAGGTCAGTTTGCGTGACAGGGTGCAACAGAGAGCAACCGTTAACTTTCAGATTCAGTAAGTATGGCTTTATGTCTGCACGGATGGCGTCATCATGGAGGCCAGTGAGCAGTGTTTGGAGGAATTGATTTTGGATTAGCTCTGTACTTCAAACCAGATTTAACTCTTTCTGAAGCAAAGACAATTTGTTGTCTCAGATCCATGGCTCGCACTAAAAACTGAATGGGTGCTTCTTTTTAATCTTAAACAGCCCGTGTGAGGGAGTGGTACAAGTCTGTAGCATCCTTCTCAATGTAATCAGTCCGTAATATCTCTCTGACAGCTTGCAATGACAGATCAACTCTACTTTCAAGATAACTCTTCAATTTTGTTCCTGGGGCTATAGCTTGAATGACAGCTTCTACGACTTCTCCCACCTCATCTCTTTTTCAGTGCTCTTTGGATTTGTCTTTCCAAACTAGTGTACGCTAACTCTCTTCTGTACAGTGGATGGACAAAATAAACATTTTGGGAAGTTACTCCTGTTGCATTCGGGACAGAAACATTTTCTCCTTGTTCATTTGGATTACTGGGTGCGATATCATTTTCAACCACCGGCTGGCGCTCTCGCGATATTTGTTGGGGCTGGGATACGCCATTATTGTAATTTTTCCCTTTGATTTCCTCAATGTTGTCATTTACTTGCAGCAATAGAGACATCTATTGTGTCTCCTGTGTGCGCACGGCCTACTGGTGAAGGACGCGATGTTGCTTCTCCTCCAGCCGATATGAAGACCGGTTTCTATAAACCCGTACTTCATTGAACCCTAGATATGTGGTGGGTTATGGCCTTCTTGGACCTGTGTCAATTAAAACGGGCCCTTTTTTGAAAGCCTCCATTCAATTACTTCACAGAAATGCATTTTCAAATGCTCCGTCCCCAAGGTTGGCCGGCAGCGTTCGACCTGAAAGACAGTCCTTCAGATCTCTATCCTTCCGCTCCACAGACCATTCTGTGTTCTGGGGTCGAGGGAACAAAGTATCAGTACAAGTCCTACCCTTCGATTGCTCCATAGCCAGTTCGGTCTTCAGGTCAACTGGGAGAGAGTAATCTCGCCCATGGGCTGAGTATCTCTTTTTCAGTTCAGGAGAAGGACTCTGTCCAACACGTCTCTTCAAGAAGAGTGTGTTAGGCTAGTGCTAGAAGTGAGAAAGGGTCCCACTGAAAATTTCAGAGGCTCCTGGGGCATATGGCAGATGCAGCCGCTTGGCTTCCTCCATATGAAGACCGCTTCAGCACTAGTTTTATGATCGAGTCCCGAGGTGACCGTGGCAGAGCGGCACGCCCTGTGTGATAAAAGATAACCCCGGCCTGCCGCCAAACTCTCAGCCCGTGTTCAGACCTTCAGGTCCACTAACACCGACTGTGGGGCCATGTACAAAGGGCATGCTTTAACGGAGGCCTAGGCGACCTCTGACTGCATTGGTATTCGTTACCTCGAGTTGGCAGTTCACCTCGCTTTGAGCCACCGCTGCTCAGCGAGCTGGAACTGGTCTGAAAAGACAACATTGCGACCGTTGTGCTAATCTTCCCTCGCATGTCACAACTCGCCCGCCACCTCCTCCTTGGAGTCAGAAGCTTCTGAGGTCGCTTCATTCCACTATAAATTTCTTCCGGCCTGCTCAATCGTGCCACCAACGAGCCTCACGGCAGCTATGGCCAGGGAAAGTAGAGACTCCATCCCCTGGCGGTCCAGCTGGGCAGGGACCACTACGGGGCCGCACAATTACATCTGTTGCTCCTCCAGACTCGTCCCTCTGCCAGTTGTGTTTCTGTCTGAGCAGACATCCCTTGGATAGACACTGGCTCTCAGCTGACCCCGGGGCCCCGCAGAAATGTGTTACCCAGTGAGCCTTCTAAGAAAGCGGCTATGCGATTCATTATCGCTTGGCGCTGCTCAAGTTCAGTGATGTTCATCATACTCAGGTGTTGAGCAGAAATGCTCCTGAAGTTCAGTGAATTATCACATCTAGTGTTGAGCAGTGCTCCTGTCGTGTGCGTGCATGTCGCTTGCACCTACTGTGCTAAATCAGGAGTGGAACAGATCTTGATAGTTGCCCCTTTTTGGTCCAACCAGATCTAGTTCCCTTCGACAGCCTTCCTGACTTCCCCTGAATACATTTCAAAGAACTGGACGGGGAGGTTCAGGTGGCTACCACAAGGAAATATGTGGTAGTGACCATCACTTCTGCAAGCACCCCCTTAAGATAAGGCAGTTGTGCTTCGCTAGTTAGAAGTGGAACCTAATCGTTGAATGAGTCTTCTCTCCGATCCTGAGAGCGTTCGGTCATTTCAGTGCTCTCTTTCCTGCAAGTTGGGTTGGAGTAGGCTGTTCACCCTCAATATGATACAAACATCATATGCAGAAGTATGGGAAGCACGTCCTGATCGCCAGGTTCCTGAGGGAGCAAGGGTTATCCCTGCGCTCCTCTTTATCCTCTTGGGCCTATCTCTGGTGCTACTGCAATGCAGAGACCGCCCCAGAGCCACTGATGAAGTAATAATTACATATGAATTACATAAAGCGTCTGCTCCGGTCTAGAGACACCACAGAGCGGATCATATGTGCGAGACGGCGCAAACCGTCAAACTTGACATTTTGTCATAACACAGATAGTGGGGTTTTCTTTGTCATAGTTTAACTATTTGAATATCAGGTGTTGAATGAGTAACACCTGACCAGTGTCAAAGACTGAATCTTTGAACGTTCACTGATTTTATCTGTGCACATCATACTACAAAGATGGTTACTGAAGTTAGACAATTTTCTGCATGAATGTAATAATGGTTGAATGATTTATTTTCTTCAAATGTTTAGTTAGTCATTTTGAACTTCATTTTTTAATTTAAAGTGCCCCTATTAAGCTATTTTAAAGGCTCCTGTTTTGTTTTGGAGTCTCCTACAACAGGTTTACATGCATCAAAAGTCCAAAAACATTTTATCATAATATACATTGAACATCACCACATTTTGCAATGATTCTCAAATGGACTGGATGGATGAATCAGTCTCTCTAAATCCCTCCTTTTCACGAGCTACTCTGCTCTGATTGGTCAGATGGCCCAGTCTGTTGTGATTGGTCTACCGCGTCTTTTAAAAATCCATATCTGTCTCTATCTCCTGTCAGAAAACAAAAACAAACCTATTTTTTTATCTGAAGTATATTCATATCTGATGTTTTATGTGACGTGTAGCAGATGAAGTCATATATGCAGTGTACAAAACACAGCACAGAGATTTCATCCAGAGAGACCGGACATTCACTCTTCAGGTGATAAACTTCTGTTTTTGACTGAATTTTTTTTTTTTTTTTTACCATAAAAACGAATTAACCGTGTAATTGTGTTTATCTGCCCAAGG